CCCCCTCCCCCGGCCCCCCCCCCACTCCTCCCTCCAGCTGTCACCTCACCGCCGCCTGCTTACTTCCTCTGCTCTGTCCCAGCCAAGACACTGAATTAATTATGGTGTGATCGCCACTAAGGCCCTTTTCACTCGAGATCCTTGAAGCACTTGAGCTTGAGGGCCGCTGGCACCAGAAATGCGTCCATTTTGTCGGGAGGAAACTGAGGCTCAGAGACGATGTGCAATGCTGAGGTTGCTGAGGTCGACCAGGGCTTGGGGACAGAACTGAGGCCATCCGGAACCACACACTCCGCCCAGCACAAAAGGCAGGGGGCTAGAAACAGAGCAGCCCAGCCTGGCCTGCCCATGGTTTCCCGGCTGGGAAACACACTACTCCTCAGATCCAGCAGGAAGACTTGCTCCCCCATGGGCTGGACTCTGCCCTCTGAGACTACAGGTCTCTGCCAGAAATGAAGAGCACAGGCTCCAAGTCCAAGAGAGTGGAGTTCAAATCCAGACTCTGCAGTTCACTAGCTGTGTCACCCTGGACATCTACCTGGTCCTCAATATTCTCATCTATATAACAGGCATAATAAAAATCCTCACAGTAGGTGGTGGCAAGACTCAGTGAGTTTCCTCCTACCTGGCGTGGGTGCCCCTGGGTCCGTGGGCAGGACCGGATGGCTGCAGCAGGAACAGGAAAAGGGGGAACCAGAATGAGAGGCTCTTCCCTGCGGGGAAGGGAAACAAGGAACTCAGCCTGGCATTCAAGGCTCCGCCAGGAGTTCAAGAAGATTTCTAAGTGTGCGGGGCACTCCTGGTGCAGTGCCTATCATGCATGCATGTGTGTAGTAGGTGCTCAGTTATCAGAAGGCTTTTTTGTTGTTATTGTTGCTATCTCCTGACTCAGATTCCAAGGCTGGCCAGGGTCCTTGCTCTAGCGGGACTCACATCCATTGCTGACTTGACAGAATCCCAGCATTCAGCTACCCTTCACAGCTGGGGACACTCATCCTAGAAGGTGGAAGGGATAGGCCCAAGATCACACAGAGTCTCCCTGTTCCCGCACCCACAGGTTCCCTCCCTCAGCACACCCAGTCATTCTGCAGAACCCCAGCAGGGAAGGCCAGCAGGAGGGCTCAGAGGTTCCTGTGCCGGCTCCCAGGCATCTCTGAGTGCAGGTAGGAATCATGCCAGGCGGGAGAGGAGAGACCTGCTGAGGTAGCTGTGCCTCCTCCCCACCCATGCTGTTCCCATGCTCCACTGAGACAAAAGCCAGCTGCCCTAGGGAGACAGAGCAAGCCAGGACAGACCTGGGGAGGGAGGGGGGCAGGTGGAGGGCCTGGGACTCTGGGGATGCCAGCAGCTTCAGCCTTCCCCACCACCCCAGATCAAGGCCCCCTGGGGACTAACCAGACAGAGTAAAGAGATGGGATTATCCGCAAAAGAGATGGCGTCAGGATGGAGATTTGTGGGCCCCAGTTGCCCAAAGGAAAGGGAGCTTTCTGGTGATGAAGAAGGGAGAGACCAGATGGGCTTGGATAAGTTTCCATCTTATAACACCCAGGCCCTCTCTCTCTTTGGGCCCTAGGCCCAGCAAGTCACCAACCTGTACCTCCTTCTGACTCCTTACTCCTGAGCCATGCACCAGCACTCAGAACAACATTCACAAAGACCAGCAGTGGCAGGGAAGAGCCTTCTCTGGGAATCAAGAGAACTGAGTTCAAGTCTCACTTCTTCATGGTGTGATCTTAGATAAGTCTCTGGGTCTCTGTTTCCCCCATTTGAACAAAAGAATACGCAGATCAGATGGTCTCTGAGGACTGGTTCCAGCACGGAGCAATTGAGCCCTCACTGTGGCCAGGCTCTGGGTCTGGCCCTGCAAAGCCCAAGACGGCTGCAATGAAGGGGAAGATGAAGGCCGAGAAAGCAGGCAGGGTGTGGGTGCAACCTCCAGGGATGGGAGCGGACCAAGAGGGTGGAGCAGGAGGAGAAGTAGATGAGAGAAATGGTGGCAGAAGTGCCAAGCCTTGGTGACTGATAAGCACTGGAGCTTAGGGGAAGAGAGGTGCTGAGGATGCCTAGGTTTCTGTCTTGATGTTGGTGATAATACCCAGGGAAAGGGAGACGGCGGGGGTAAATAAAGTTGAGATTAGAGCTTTTTGTTTGGTCCACTTCAGAGGAGGGGTCCAGCATGAAGCTGTATACACAGAGCTCTCCTTGCCCCAACCCTGAGATAGGGCCCACAGCAGAGGGCCAGCTTTTCCTGCCCTCTACTGCAAAGCCTATCTGTAGCCTAAGTGTGTAGGGAAATGTCTTAATCCTCAGGATGGCAAGCTTTTTGAGCTAGGCAAGGCCAGCTTCCCTGTCCCCTGAGAAGCCTCCTCAGGCTTGACTCCTCCTCCCCCATCTCTCCTCTAACAAACTCCCATGTCTTCCCATGCCACTGTAGTGCCATGCTGGATTGTGCTGTCCCTCTCTCCCCCTTAATGGGCTGTGAGAGCCTTACTCACTCTCGTATCCCCAAGGCCAAGTATGGGATCTGGCAGATAGAAGACATCCAGGGAACATTAGTTGCTTGTATAAAGAAGTGAATAAGTGTCTGCCTGAGTAGTGAACGCGTAAAAAAATATAGATGTTCTATGAGTAAGTAAGGGCCCAGGGCCAGCCTCATCAGGGTGACAGCCAACTCACCCATCTGCTGTGACAACTACCATAAGTGTCAGTGCCTGCCTCAGTTTCCCTGACTTCCCCAGATGGGCTCATGGGCCAGTGCCCCAATGATCCCTCAGGCCCAGCTCCATCCCAGGTCCTGAGGCCCTCCCAGCTAAGGCAGCAAAGATCCCCTTTCCTGTACTCCATCGGTGACAAGGGGTAGGGTTTCTCTCTCTGCATACCTACCACTCCCTGCTCAACATCAATCACATGCCCCCCTGCCCACCCTAGCTAGGGCTTGGATTGCAATGGCCCTGAAGAGGTCTCACCCCTGCTAGGCCCCACCCACTATTTGGAAAACCGGAGCTGACTCTCACCTGAATCACTCCTGGACCCAGCCCCACCCAGCCCCACCTCTCCAGGCAGCTTCACAGCCAGGAAGGCTCTGGAATCAGCCCAACATCTCTTCAAATCCCAGCCCCCATACTATACCCAACTCTCAGTGTGGCCTTGAGCAGCAAACTACCACTTTAGGGCATCAGTTTCCCCCTCTGTAAAATGGGGCTAATAATTCTATTCTTATGAGAGTTATTGTGAGTTTGAGGTAAGATGGTCTATGTGAGTGTTCCCAGCATCTAGGAGGTGCTAGGGGTTCACTCTTGGCCACTTTCCCTTCCATTTCCTTCCTGAGCAGGAGGGTTCCATGAAAAATTCTCTTTCTCTTCCTCTTTACCTACTAAGCACCAGGCTAGGGTTGACTACTTTTTTTTTGATATTTTTTTGAATATCTACTATGTGCTGAACAGAGTACTATGTGTTGTTTTTTGCCTTGTTTTGTTGTGTTTTAGTTGGGGTCCCTGTCACCCAGGTTGGAGTGCAGTGGCACAGGCAGTCACGTAGCTGGGACTACAGGTGCATGCTTCCACACCCGGCTAATTTGTTTTATTTTTTGTAGCAACCAAGTCTCACTATGTTGTCTGGGCTGGTCTCGAACTCCTGGGCTCAAGCAGTCCTCCTGTCTTGGCCTCCCAAAGTGCTGAGATTACAGGCGTGAGCCACCTTGCCCCACCAAGTGCTATGTGTTTTAAAGGCACTATTACATGTGCTTTTCTCAGCAGCCCTATGAAGTCAGTTTCACTTCCATTTATAGAGAAAGACACTGAGGCACTGAAGCAGCTTGCCTAAGGTACACAACCAGTAAGGATTAGGTTTCAAGGTCCAAGCCTCTTTGTTCTAGGATACCCAGGTACCCTGTACTTAAGCCCCAGCATAAACAGCCAATATTTGAAGAATGCCCCCCTAGGGTGGTGGTCGATAAGAGGGGGAACAATTAAAGCCACACAGTTCAGTTGAGAGGGCAAGAACTGAGAGCCACAAAATGTGTTTACATCCCTTTTTCTTTTTCTTTTTTTTTTTTTTTGAGTTGGAGTCTCACTCTGTCGCCCAGACTGGAGTGCAGTGGCTGCTCCTGGCCACCACAGCCTCAACCTGCTGGGCTCCGGCGATCCTTCCGCCTCAGCCTTCCAAGTAGCCGGAATTAC